CAGTGATGACTGCTGTACCCATATTTTGACTATTTTATTAATAATGTCTGTTTTGTTCACGCATCGTTGTAAATATAACGGAATTTGATAAGACTGTCGTACAAGTGAGAGGTTTAGCGCTATAAAACCAGGTTCAATCCACCATTTTCTACATTTGAAAATGCCTGTACCAAGTCAGGAATATGACAGTTGTTGTCCATTCGTTTGATGTGTTTTGTCATTTGATTTTGCCATGTGATTAGGGACTTTCCGATTGAATTTTCCTCGGAGTTCAGTATTTTTGTGATTTTACTTTTTAATTAAATCGCATACGAATCAAGTCGCTGAATGCGAGGCATACATCATACACTCTGACGGTTGCGACGGCAACACCGTTTAACAATTTGTATGTCTCTATATTTCAGAGGATAGAGGAATCAGATGATTCATACTTTGTATAAGATCCATTGTGTTACGAAGTTTTTGTTTGTCATATAATTATTTTCCTTGACCTCATTTTCATGGTTAAACGACTACTAGAAAAAATGTAGTTTTTTTCGTCATGTAAATGTCTCACTTATGAATTTGAATGTCCCTTTGGTATTCTTAGCATCTCTTTTATCATATTAAGTTATAGGATAGCTATACTTAGTTTCTAATATATGGTATTCTTGCAAGGTCTGCATATCGTTCATACATGGTTCACCTGACCACGACCTCATTTCATGGATCAGCGAACAATGTTAAGTTTCAGTGGTCAAGTCCTGATCTCAGATACTATAAGTAGTGGGTCAAATATATTTGGTATATGGAATGGTAGCAAAATGTACATGTCTTTGTGGCAGAATTCATCAGACCTAACCTTTGTTATTTGAACATTGATAATGTTAATTTAATGTAATACTTGTATAATATGAAAATAAGGAGATGTGGAAGTAAGCAGTTATAGGCAACCGTTTTATATAAAATATAATAAAGATATAAATATGTACAAAAGTGAAGAAAACAAAATTTCGCGCAGCAATGCCACAAGCCGCGAAAAAATAAGCATGCGTCAAATGGTCAATCAGGAGTTTTCATGCTGCCAGCTTGGCACATATAGGTCATTTGCATCAGTGCTTTGCTCGGACAAACATGTTGCCAATTCATCTTTGAAATCATTGCAGTTGTGTCTGCTGTTGTAAAATTTATATCATGAACGGTGATACATTTTTGTTGGCTTTCAAACCGAGAGGGATTTAGGTGGAAAACAACAGGAAAGACCATAACATAGACTTGATGTGCCATATTCTGGGTGTGAAACAAAACCGACCCGACCGATTTGATTCGTACACTACAATTATAACAAAAATATATATTCAATAAAAAGTTTAAAGTATTGAAAAACAGATCCATAACATATTCTTCCGAGGAAAAAAACAATTTACAAAGTTAGCTGGCTATTCAAAACAAAGAAATCAACCACACAACAAGCAAAAATATGAAATGTATTGAGTGACCACTATCCTAAATAATGACCTTATAGTGTATGCAACAAAATGTTTAATGTCAAGGGGTAATCCGTGTTTAAATAACATGAATAATTCCAAAATGTTGACTTAATTTGTGTTTTTAATAGCCAATTTCTTCAAAAATACTTTCATTTCATACATGAAATTTGGCACACACATGCATCGTGTCTTATTGCTTTAATCATAGTAAAAACACTGTAAAGATGCTCGTAATAATTTTGCTTTCGATGATAATGTGGTAAATTTCGGGTGTGATTTTAGTATAACTTAAAAGCTGAAATAGTTATACTAAAATCACTTAAATACTTTCTGCTTTTGTTATATGATATATTTAATGTATAATCTATATTATAGGTATAATTTAAACCATCGACAAAGAGCGTAATAATTTTATGTTTCATGGAAAAGATTTCCCATACAATACGGTATCTGGAGGTACTCTGTAAAAACACGAAATTTAGAAATCGTGACCATGGAAACTTACGAAGACAATCATGAATGTAAAATATAATGATTTTCCTATAATTTGCAAACCAAATTAGCCGTGTGTTATTCGTTAACTTACACTCGTTAATTAGGGGACTTTCCGGATACTGCGCACCCTACTTCTTCTTTCCTCTATATCTTCCTCCAATAGTTGGAGTACACCAACCTTACTGAATTAAGGTTGGTTAATCCTTATAAAAATTATTAAGTGAATACCTAACTATTTAAAAATAACATTATGTACAGTTAAATCTCTGCAAAGATACTAATAATAACTTCTATGTACATTAAAAATGGGTCACAGTTTAAAAGTTATTAATAAAATTTTTAAAAATAAAAAAGTTTTGAATATTATTTACAGGGCATGCATTATAGTAAAAAATCTTTACATTTACTAAACAATGTTACTTAAAGGTAAAAAATAACGAGTTTTCAGCTTCCTGCCTGCTACATGCTGGAGTTACTACATCTGTCTATGAGCATTACTAGGCGATATAAAATCAATAAAATCATGCATATAAGCTTATATGTCCTAGGCGATCTAATTATGCATAGCCATTATCTATCTGTTATATATATATATATGTGTGAAGCTACTGGGTATTAAAGCTAACGGTAAACATGTACATTTATTCCAACTATAGGTATAGCGCGGCACAACCACACTGACCAGTTATTCTAAAATTTCATGGATTTTCTCAGCATTTAATTTTACGTAAAGGATTGATAGGTTTAGCGCGGAACACCCACACTGACCTAGTTGCTCTGTCCAAAAACCTGTATGATGACTTTAGATTAAAGATAAACGTTGTTTCAGTTGTTTCATTTTACGGAGTTAAAGAAAGCAATTGAAGGTATAGCGCGGAACAGCCATATTAACCTAAATTAAATGAAGATTTAAACATTTAGATTTTCGTAGCATTTAATTCTGTGTAAAAGATTGATGTTAGGTTTAGCGCGGAACACCCACACTGACCTAGTTGTACTGTCGAAGAAGCATAAATGATTATTCCTTAGATTGGAGAAAAAAGCCATATTTTATTTTATGAAGTTGAAGATAGTTGTTTAAGGTATAGCGCGGTACAACCACACTGACCTTATGACAACTAGACATTAAGAGAAGACACTCTTTTTAGATGGAGTCTATAACATAAGTTCCTGCTTAATTCTTCTATTGAATTAAGAAAAAGGTTATCATGAGGGAGAATATTGTTTAGAGCCAGTTGCTGACAATCCATAATTAGTTGGGCAATACAAGTTCTCTCGTGAAAGTTGGAATTCCAGTTTCCTAGCCCAATTTTACTGATGGTAATTCTTTTGATAACACTTAGAGATTCTCTGCGTATGCCTTCCAGAACGGGACAGCGAGTGAGAAAATGGATGATATCTTCTTCTTCCAGTTGACAAATTGGGCAAGTTGCATCAAGGTTAATATTTGAGAAACGAGCTTTCTGTGATTGAAATATATATGTCCCTGTGCATAGCCTTGCTTTTATTGTTGCTTTCCTGAGTTCGCCAATATTTGGTGGTAGACTATTCCAGATAGTATGAGGTTTTCCAATGTCTAAATTAGGGATACAGAGAAATTTTAGTGTTGTTTTGCTATTGGCGTCCCTTTGAAGATGCACTTTCCAGTAGTTGTTTATTGCTTCTCTTGCCTTGCATTTCCATGATAACTTTGATGGCAATTGATCTTTCAGATAAGTCCATGGAGGAAGATTATACATGTATAAAAGATCTGCTACTCTGTTAAGGAAAAGTAGTTCATGTGTTTGCAGGACATATTGCCTCTCTAGAGCCTTTTTTAGATTCTCGTTATTAGATGAAAAGATGGAGTGGAACAGGCTAAGAACTCTTTTGTGAATTTCTGCCTCTATGGGGAGCGCACCCAAGAGTAAGTATACTGCTGAAATTGCTGTCTGTGAGGGAAGAGCTTGTATTTGTCTCAAAAAATTCACGTGGAAATCTCTTAGCAACTTAATGTCCCCATTTTTTAGTGGCAGAACTTCCAGGCTGTAAAGTAGCCTTGGTAGAACGTATACTCTGTATATCATATAAGAAGTTTTAGGGTTTAATCCGTTTGTACCATGTACTCCAACGTTCATAAGAGAATAGGCTGTCCTTCTGGCTAAGCTAATTCTGGCCATGGATGTTTGTTTTATTTTGGTCTTTAATTGCTCTTATGATACCCAGATGTGTACCTTGAATAGCTGATGGCATGTTTTTATCATCGAGTTTGAATTGAACTTCACTCTTCGTTGTTTTTGAGTTACTATATTTATTAATTATAACGCTTTTGGTTGGATGGATCTTGTATCTATGTTTGTCTGAGTATCTTTTAGATGTATCTAGCATAGATTGCATTTCTTCTTCAGTTGATGACAAAAGTATAATATCATCTGCACAGGTTTGACATCCCGTAAAGTTTGTGCCGATGTACTGGCCCATACCATTCTCTTCAAGTTCTGTAAGTAGGTCGTTAATGTACAGTTTGTACAAATGGGTGGATAGAATTCCTCCTTGGCGGACTCCTTGCCGTACAGGGAAGCTGTTACTAAATCCGTTTTTCCATTTAACTTTAGAGGTAAGGTTGTTGTACATAATCTGGATCAATATTTTGGTCAAATAACTTGTCGAGAAGAGTATCATGATGAACAACATCAAATGCCTTTTGTGAGTCCAGAAGTCCAAAAATTAATTTAGATTTTTGATTTTTTGATATAAGTTCCGATTCAGAGACTAGTAGTGCTGCCATTGCTGGTGAGAGGCCACTTGTGAAGCCAAATTGTAATTCTGATTGTTTATCTAATTTCGGAAGTATTCTATTAAGGATAACATGTTCATAAATTTTTCCAATAATTGACGAGACGGTGATGCCTCTGTAGTTATCAAGTATACTAGTAGCATTAGCCGTTCCCATTTAAGGACGAGTAGTCAATCAATAAATGTGTTTAATTTTCACGGCTTCACTAATAAAATTGGCAAACATATTTTCATAAAAATAATGTTATGCTATTTTTATAGATACAAAGCAGCAGAATGTTGTATGGCGGTTTCAGTTGATGACAAAAGAACAGCACTGCATATAGCAGTGAATAATAACCAAGAACATATTGTGGAGTATTTACTGAAAGAGTGTAAACTGATAGAGGAAGCAGACACAGCTCAGGATAGGTACACTTTCTGTAAAACATATTACACATATACAAGCTATTCTATAATACAAACAAAGTCATTAGTAATGCATTTGTACAGTCGTGAATATTTAAACATTGTCAATTTTTAAATTTATATACAAAGACCGAGATCTTCATTTATCTGAAACATTCTATTGTTAAAAAGTTTCAAACTATTGTCCCATTGCTTTGACAAACTACTTCGTCTAATATATACTATTAGTATGTTGCCATTCAGATGGTTTTTTTTTTGTAATTTTGTCGTTCGGTTGCTGTTTCATGACATATAACCCACATGTCAATGTATCTGTAGTGAAAAAGAATAAAATACCATATTGTTACAAATTTTGTCGTATTCTAGTACAAAGACATATAACCCAAATTTCAATTTATTTATAATGAAAATGAATAAAATACTATAAATTGGATCACATTTTTAACGTATTATAGTACAAAGAAATATTTTGTTTCGGAAGTTAAAAGAACCCAGCAAAGACTTTTTCACTGCCAAACTGCTATCAACACGTTAGTTAAAATACGTTGGTCAAAATGCTATCAACAGCCGTTTTTTTCTGTGTTGTTTTTTGTGTACTGTTGTACGTCTTTTCGTCGTTTTTCCTTTTTTTGGCATGTCTTTATCTTTGTTTTTAACTTATGAGTTCGACACCATTTTGGTATCTTCCACCTCTCTTTTAAGAAATAAAACGTTATCTTTATTTTTTGGTTTACACTATCTATCAAACATAGAAATCTGTCCAAATATTCACGATCCAAAACGGTCTAAACATTTTACAATATCCGTTTTACAGTGAACAATTACATCACATCTTTATATGTTATGTATATAGGCTGTTATCTCACAGCATGCCTTCAAATACATTTTGAAATAGAAAACTATTCAAATAATAAATGTACAAAACGTTTGAAACTTTTAGAAAATGTTACATCATTAGCATTCTCTTCTTGAATAACGGTTGATGACAAAACATATTTTTTAACATCCACTGCTATTATCACAGAAAAGCAATACTGTTACTTAAGGTGGCTGGGTGGTATAAATATCTAATATAGGATTTGGCTAATACTTTTTATAAATGAGCTTCATCATATATTAAGTGGAAAATAAAAATAAAAAAATGGGTTCACCGTCTAGTTAAATTTTTTTTGAAGGGTTCAAGTTTATTGGTTCATTCAAGATTACTATAGAAATGATAGGGAAATGAATGCATAGCCATCTTTTTTGAAGAATTTCTCATGAAGCCTAATATAGGATTTTTTAATGTTTGTGTTTTTTCTGTTGCTGAAATAGTCTTTTTAAATAATAAAAAGTAAAATCAACAAGTCACCGTCTAGTTAAGACAAAAAATGTACATCATTAAAAATAATCAGCATTTTTTTAAAAAGGGAGATAACTCTGTCTTTTACACATTTTTTCTAATTTTGAAACCAGATATAGAGAGACCTGGTTATAAAAACTTGTTATACCCTCTATACATGTAAGACCATATATAATATATATAACATTTCCAAACAGTTGATTTGCATATTGGTTGCCATGGCAACCAGCAGTCAAAATGGAAAATCACTAATTTTTGGGATTTTTTAAAATTTTCAGTTCAATTCAATACCAAATTATTTGAAAAATGATCAGGCAGTATCTATTACAAAAGGGGTGTGTTTGTTTTTAGAACCTGCATATTTATATGGACTGTGGAATCCCTGAGGCAAATAGTTCTTAGTTTGTCTGCTCGTTCACTTGTTTAATATCACTGGTTTCAGTTGATAATTTTAGTATCTCTTGCTTGATTGTAATAAAACTTGCCTTTTTTATGAAACCTAGAGACTCACTCAGACACCTGACTTAAACTGATTTTTCAGTTTACAAGACAATCCCTCATCTGCAATAAATATCCCACCTCAGGGACCTCTAACATTAGTATTCCAATTTTGATGAAACTTTGCAAGTTATTTTTATCTTATTGGTGTTTTGTACATAAATCAGGCTGTTTTGACATCTTTGAATTGCCTTACATTTGTCATTTGGTTTTATAGCTTGCCAAACGGTATGGAGTTTGCTCATTGTTAAAGGCCATTTATCTCTTAACTTCTATCTCTTTTTGTCTCTGGTGGCAATCATACCCCGTATATCCCACCTTTTTATATATATTTGAAATTTTAAACACAATGCTGACAAATATAGCACACAGGACAGCTTCTATGTTTGTTGTATAATGGAATTATTACAGGAGCATATCTAAGTTTGACATAGACAAATTCTTCTTTTATTTCCTAGTACTTGTTTATGTATAAAAATTAACACATGAGATAGTTGAACCTGATACACCCGCCATATAATCCTTTTTTTATATCTGTCAATTCATCCGTTTTATGCTTTTGAAATTACATAATTACATAAAAAATTTCAGGCTAAATAGTGTGTTATTAGATTTGTATTAAATAGAAAATGTGTCTATAAGACACAGGATGTCCTGCCATTAAATGTAGGTCACAGTAATCAAATTGTTGATGACCTGTGTGGTATCATTAAAGAATACTCTAGTGATGATATATCACAATAGGTTTCTGTGAAATGAACCTAAACACAAGACTTAACCAAAGACACAAAAGCAATAAATGTAGGTCAAAGTGACTCAAGTAATGTATAGTACTACTAGCATTACTAGTATACAAGATGTCTGTGGAGAAAAAATATCACTGATATATTACCATTAGTTTCTGAGAAATAGAGATAAATGCAAAACTTTACTGGAAAGGGATGTACATACTTATGGACTGACAAAGGTATACTAGTATCAATCTATATAATCCATCCACATTTGTGGCAGGGCATAATAAAATCCAATCTTGGTAACTTTTCAAATAAATATAAATAACAACATGCAGTATTGTGACAATACTCATTTATGATCCAATTTCAGTTCCCATAAATTACTTATTTAGATTCAATAAATTCCCCCAAAAAGATAACTAATTTAAAAGTGTTGAATTGCATGGTTTGATTAGTAGCAGGCCAACTTCACAGGTTTATTCTATTCATATAACCTTATGATTTTCTTTTCAAAGTGTGCCAATTTTTAAAAATCCTGTTCTGTATAATCAGTTATGCAAATACCATTATTTTTAAGAGGTGGATTTAGGGGAGGTACTATATGGTTAATTCATAGCCTTTTTACATGTCCCACTTCAACCGTTGCCTAGTTTGGGAAGCCTTTTGCCCCTTTTTTCGAAATCCTAGAAACATATTTGTAACATTTTGTTACCTGCATTTCTTTCAGACAATACCTGGTAAATGAAAATATAAAAAAAAACACACTAGACTTGCACCTTCTAAATTAAATTTTTACTGGCCTTTTAAAGCTGACTATGTGGTATGGGCTTTGCGCATTGTCTAATGCGGTACAGTGACCTATTGTTGTTAATTTCTGTGTCATTTGTTCTTTTGTTTTATTGGATAGCATACCACATCTTTTTTTTTATATAATGTTCTACTTTTAGGCAAAAATATATATTAAAATCATAGAATATCTACCAGCTCTAACTCAAAGTATGGCCGTTCACTTCCCATATGTTAAAAATTACAAAAAATGTACATTCATTTGTATGTAATAAAGAAATTATAAAAGTAACGAATCAATGAAATAACGTGAATAACCTTTTACATTTTGCCACTTTGAAAATAATTATAAGAACTATTACATGTACCCCCCTTTTTCAATTCCAACTAATTTATAAGCATAGCCCGATTTGAATTAATCTATTTTTTCAATTCTGTTCATGAAAAGTGTACTGTTCTAGCAAAACACATACTGATATAACTTTATTAATTAAGACATTTGACATAAAATTTAACAAAGATAACACAATTTTAATACAACAGTAAATTGTTTGAAATATATAGTTTAATATGCACCTCACCTTATCCATGTTATCATTAAATAATCAACACAGTATGATATGTGCCAAGTTTTACATGAATAATCTACAGGAGGGACCCAGAATTTTAGAAAAAGAGGGTGGTGGGGTTACTGATGGATGGACAGACAGACAGACTGACAGAGTGCAAACCAAAAGTCCCATTCGACTCCGTCGGTAGGAGACTAATAATCTAAACTAACAACAGAGTAAATGAAAATTCTGTTTGCAAAAGAAACTCCTGCCTTTTTCCCCGAAAAGTCAAAAAGTCATTAATATTAATTTACTTATGGTGTCTGATGTAGACAACATTCTGTATGTATGTGCCTGTCCCAAGTCAGGAGCCTGTAATTCAGTGGTTGTCGTTTGTTGATGTGTCACATTTTTGTTATTGGTTCATTTTTTGTACATAAATTAGGCCGTTAGTTTTCTCGTTTGAATTGTTTTACATTTGTCATTCCGGGGCCTTTTATAGCTGACTTTATATATGCGGTATGGGCTTTGCTCATTGTTGAAGGTCGTACGGTGAACTATAGTTGTTTATTTCTGTGTCATTTGGTCTTGTGGAGAGTTGTCTCATTGGCAATCATACCACATCTTCTTTTTTATATATAACACAACTTCCAAGTTGCAAATAAATGGTGATTTAGTCAACACACCATGAATTACATTGTATTATCGATCTTAGTTGTAAGATTAACCATGTTAATGCGAAAACGACTCCTGGACCCTAAGTGGTCTGTAAAAAATGTGTCATAACATTCACCACAAGTACATTGCACAATGAGCATCACTCATTTTAGTGTGGGTATTGCTGTGTTTTTGCTTATTCCACATTGGTTACAGACAGTAGAGGGTTTACATCTGACAAAACATGTTTAACCTCGCTGAAATATTGTTTGCGCCTCACCCTGTCCCAAGTCGTGAAATTCTAGTCTTTTTTAGTCTTGTATGTATTTTAATTTTTGGTTCATTTATATGTTTTGGCGTTAAGTGTGACGTCCATTTTCCCTGGACAATACCTTATTGTTTAGGGGCTAGCTGGACCCAGCCTCCAGGGGCTGGATTTTCTCGCCGTGTTGAAGACCCATTATACCCATTGTGGCCACAGGTCATCTTTTGCTATTTGGTAGGATTGTTGTCCTGACATGTAATTTTCCCCGTTTCCATTCTCAATTTTATATAATTTATAATACACATTAATGTTTGTCCCTGTTTTTTGCTTTTTTTTCCCATTTCCGTTAAAAAATAACTTTCAAATGATTTTACGGTCGTGAATCATTCTTGTGCTGGGTTCATTCGAACACGATGTAAAATATATCTTCAATAAACGAAGGATCGCATCGGTAGAAACTTAAAGAAGAATTACTTACATTTATATTCCTTGTTTGTTTACAAAATATTACATACATTTTACGCATATTTCCGGGTCCTTTTCTAGTGTAAAACAAGTGTGAAACTGCTTCATAAGCTACTAAAATGAAGATCGTGTTCTAATATTTTCGATCTTTGTTTCAGTATTCATGAAAAGCAGCCCACGTGTTTGATTATTGTGATGTATCTTGTGTTTATCTTCTCACGCCGGCAAGAACATGCCATTGCCACAAAACGGAAGTGCATTTGCAACAATGTAAATAGCAATAAATTTGTTTGTAAAATTCTAGAATTACATTTTCGATAACAACATTCTTTTGTTATATATTTAAATCAAATAGATTATTTATAATAATCAAAATTAATTATTATTGACAATTACGACAATAGGATGACTTGCGATATCGATGCGCAATTTCCTGCGCAGTTGGCGCGAAAATTTGAACCCGCGAGCCCCCTTAATTATAATAATCCGAACAGTTACTGTATATACTTTCAATATAATATTCAAGTTAGCATTTCCGTACTCATATTATCAATCAAATTACACCTTTTAGAGATGAAGTGTAGCAGTATAAGCTCCTGAAAGTGTTTTGTTAAAAAAAGTTTGTTGTTTGGGCAATTAAATGTAACATTGACAACTAACTTTAATTACATGTACCACATGACCTACAACCGATTGCAAAAAACACAGTCCTCTGTACACACTTTAACCTTTAAATAGTCTTCGTACTTTAAATGGTCTTTTCATTCGCAGAAGCTTATCATTTTTACACATTTTTGTTAATAGCTGGTATATCAGATCATTTCAAAGATGCATTCTATACAAATTTCTAATGGAACAATGACAAGAAATTCCAACAACCATGGTGTTTTAGATATATAAAAGAAGATGAGGTATGATTGCCAATGCGACAACTCTCCACAAGAGACCAAATGACACAGAAATTAACAGCTAAAAGTCACCATATGACCTTCAACAATGAGCAAAGCCCATACCGCATAGTAAGCTATAAATCACAAATGTAAAACTACTCAAACGAGAAAACTAACGGCCTAATCAATGTACAAACAAATGAACAAAAACAAACGTGTAGCACAGCAACAAACGACAACCACTGAATTACAGGCTCCTGACGTGGGACAGGTACATACATACCGAATGTGGCGGGGTTAAGGTTAATCAATGAGTTGGGTTTACTCTCGTATTAAACCATGCCTCTCATATGCTCATTTTCGTACATTTTTCAAAACAATATCTGAATACTTATTGTCCAGATGCTTGTGTATTTCTAATACGTTCGCTCGTTTTCATCAGTTTTTTTATTATAACCCTCCTGAAAATATCATTCTATTTTTTTATCAATAAATTGATATAATTTAATGAAAATTTATTTGCAAAATGTCATATGTTTTGGTGTCAGTTTGCCGCAACGTCGTTTTGCAATCGGTTGTAGGTCATTCAGTACATGTTATTAATGTTACTTGTTAAATTTTACATGTAAAATCTTTGTCTTTAATTTCATCAACTTTAACCGGTATTGCTTAAGCAAGAAGTGCCGAGGAGCCTATATAAGATCATGAAATTTAATTGGTGACAACAAACCATTCGTCATTTGTTTGTCATACATTAAGCAATTCGACTGCACAATATGGGTTTTGATTTAAGAAGAATGCAGTATTGTTACCTATAACTCCCTTAATCCACGATATTTGAACTCTCTTGGATACCTGTGTCATTGCTAATAATACCACATCTTCTTTTTTTATGGTCTACAGTTACCGAAATCTATGTTTAAATGCTTCTGATACCTATTGGTTGTTTGAAAGAAGACGGACGATAGTTTACACTATTGTTAGTTTTGTTTATTTTATAAATGTTTTAGGTCTGGTATAACACCGTTTAAGGCAGCCATGGTAGGAGGAAGAGACCATATACTTCAAATATTTCTTAAATATTGTCCGGTAAGAAACAGTAAGAATTATACATTTCTGAAACTGTTCAAATGAGAAGACAGTAGTTTACTGATGTTTCAAAACCGTATAGTTGTATGTTTTTTTTAGTTTGGTAATAATTATGAAAGAGAGGTTAGTCAGAAAAAACATTTGTATCAAAATTTCTAGACTGATTGATAGAATAATCGTCCCTTTATAATTCTTTACTCACAGAATTTACCATAATCAGTACTACATATATATATATATATATATATATATATATATATATATATATATATATATATATATGTTTCTTTTTCGATTCGAATATCTGTTTTTTGGGGTTTTTTTTTGTAATCGGTGTCTTATTGAAGTAGATTAACCATGTCCTTCTTTGCAATTACTAAATCTGTTTAAATACCAGTAATTGACAACATAATATGTTTCTAACATCTGAAAATGACATAAAATATACTCTTACGTTATTTCAAATAATCTCAGTCGGAGGTTAAGCGCTTATTTTATTTGTTGTCCCCGCAGATAAAGCCCCAAACAACATCGTTTTTGTGTGTAAATATCATTACATAAAATAAATGCTTGATAAATGAATTAGTTATTGACAATTCATTTGGAAACTCAACATATACCCTCACGACACTTACCAAAGAGGAAATCCTGGATAATCAAAGGTCTGTTCTATGTTCCTTTGGAATTTCAACCAAAGATGAAGAACTGGATCTTCCATCACTTTATTGGATACCTAAACTACATAAGTGTCCTTACAAACAACGATATATTGCTGGGTCTTCCAAGTTCTTCACGAAACCTCTTTCTAAATTATTAACATCTATTTCATCAGCAATCAAATCCGGGCTCCAAAGTTATTGTGAAACTGCCTATTCTAGAGGTGGCGTGAATCAGATGTGGAAACTAAAAAATTCCAAAGATCTTTTAGAGTACATACAATCTAAGACTCGCTCATCTTGCAATAGTATTAAAACATTTGACTTTTCTACACTTTACACAAGTATTCCCCATTCCAAACAAAAAGACAAATTGAAAGAGTTGGTATTACTTTGTTCCATTAAAAAGAATGGCGAACGTAGATACAAGTATCTTTTCTTGGGGAGGGATAAATCCTACTTTGTAAAGAATCACTCTGATTCAAACAAAAAATTCTCTGAAACTGACATTATCAAGATGCTTGATTTCTTAATTGACAACATATTTGTTACGTTTGGAGGACGTGTTTTTCAACAGACTGTCGGAATTCCAATGGGAATCAATTGTACCCCTCTTCTTGCCGACTTGCTTTTCTTTATTATTTTGAGGCTGACTTCATACAGGAACTACTTAGGAAGAAAGATAAGAAGTTAGCAATATCCTTTAACTTTACGTTCCGCTATATAGATGATGTTCTCTCACTAAATAATACAAAATTTGGTGACTATGTTGAACGAATCTATCCCATCGAACTAGAGATAAAGGATACTACATATACAGCTAATTCTGCCTCATATCTTGACTTACATTTAGAAATTGACAATGAGGGTCGGTTGAAAACAAAACTTTACGACAAAAGAGATGATTTCAGCTTCCCAATTGTGAACTTTCCATTTCTATGTAGCATCATTCCAGCAGCGCCTGCATACGGAGTATATATCTCCCAATTGATACGATATTCCCGGGCTTGTATCTCCTATCATGATTTCCTTGATAGAGGATGGCTGCTCACAAGGAAGCTATTAAACCAAGAGTTCCAAATGGTGAAGTTGAAATCATCCCTTCGTACATTTTACGGACGCAATCACGAGTTGGTTGATCGTTATGGAATAATCGTTTCACAAATGATATCGGATATGTTCCTTATGTCGTAACTACAATACCCTTCCCTTTTCACGAATGTAACCTACCGAATTAGACTATTTACCGGATTTTTAATAACATAAGCAACGCGACGGGTGCCACATGTGGAGCAGGATCTGCTTACCCATCCGTAGCACCTGAGATCACCCCCAGTTGTGGTGGGGTTCGTGTTGCTTAGTCCTTAGTTTTCTATGTTGTGTCATCTGTACTATTATTTGTCTGTTTGTCTTTTTATTTTTGGCCATGGCGTTGTCAGTTTGTTTTTAAACTATGAGTTTGACTGTCCCTCTGGTATCTTTTGTCCCTCTTTTATTCTAGATAAAGGTATATGATTCAATTTATTTTAGACATATTTTTCTCTAACTATTTTAATTGTTGTTGATTTTTTGTCAAAAGTTCTATGAGAAAGAATATCTAATTACTTTCTATTTGTCATTTTTAGGACTTACCGAATCCAACAACTAATGAAGAAATAAAAAATGCCATCTTTATGGCTAGTAAAAATGGTGACGTACAAAGACTTAAAAGGTAAGAAAATACATCTTTCGCTTTTAATTTTTATCCTTACACCAATCCCATTACTTTCATGGTTTTCAATCATGAGAGAGACTTTTAAAGTTCAATGACATTCTGTTAGATCGTTCCAATTAGCACACACAAACCTACTGGTAATGATATGTTGACATCAGAAACAAGGAAAAAACAAATATCAAATTTCCCGTCAAGTCAATTGTACAAAGAACGTTAGGTAAGTGATGGATGTAGGCGAAGACAATATCATGCAATAAGAAATGCATCTTAATGTTTATGCAAATGAATGATTCCATCGTTAACAAGTGCGTCATTTACGAAAGAAGAGATTTGAAAACAAAATAACAAATCTTTCTATCTTTTGTTTTGTTTTTATATCATACAGAACGATGATTTTCTCCCTTTTGTATACTTCATATAAAATATTTACAGCAATCCTTATTACAAGTCATTTGAAATGCCATGTTTATAATATAGTACGTCATACGCGCGTTTCGTTTACATAAGACTCACCATTGTGTAGGTCAAAGTTTAGCGAAGAAAATTTACACCGAAAATTGCGAAATGTTGTACCAAATACTGCAGAAGAACGACCATAATTTTACCTTTCATACACCATGTACACGGTATATAGGCGCCCCTTCCATGTTCAATGAATCATCAACAATTAGGGTCTTACTTAAATAACCATTCAGGTATTGAGATGACTCAATCGTGGTTCATTTATACGGTGATTCATACAAATAGTAAGATCTACTCTACAATATTCTATAAATAAAGACAACTGTAGTGTACTGCTGTTCAATATTCATAATTCCATTAAGCCAAAACAAATCCGGGTAATAAACTAAAACTGTGGGAAACACATCAACTATAAGAGAAAACAGAAACACTAAACTACAAAAACTACATACGAATACAAAAACACATCGGCGAGTAGGGTGCACAATTAGGTCCCATTGAAATAACGACTGTCTGTTGAAATATTATTCCTCCAAACTCAACAAATATGTTGTCAATCAAAAAGTCCAGCATTTTGATAATATCATCTTCAGTGTATTTTCTGACGGAATCAGTGTGGTTCTTCACAAAATAAAAATCATTATAACTCAAAACAAGAAATTAATATTTACGATTCCAATTTTTATAGAAAATGTTCTGTTTAATGAGATGGCGAAGTCGATCTTTCAATTGCGTATGGAGAATAGTTGTTTGAAGCGTAGAAAAAAACAAAGGTCTTAATGCTGCTGCAAAATTTCAAAGATTGTGATCTGCGATTTAGCAGTAGATCTTTAGAATTTTGAAGAATACACATCTTATTGATACCACTTGTTCAATATATTTCATCACCATATTTCTGAAGGCCACATTTTACTGTAGAAAAAAAAAAGAAACGTACGTAGTTAGCACTTTAGAAAGATGTTTAGGCGAACATCTTGATGATCCAGCTATGTATCGTTCTTTATACGGAGTTTAGTGAGCAACCATCACAATCATCACAATTTGCCATTTATTAACAAATATTTAAATTCTTCTATTCTGCAATTTATATTAATCCAAATCATGAATTGAAATACCGACTACATCTGCTCATCAAACACTGTGTTTTCTACAAAAAGTTGACGCATAAAATCTTTTCTCTTCTGGAAATGTGTCTTATTGGTAAAACATACCATTTTTTCTTCTTTGAAGATTAAAACAAAGTTCTTGTTTAGTGCCACGTAAAATCTACTTAATTTAGACCCCGCTAGTTCAAAGTTTGGGTAAACTAATTACAATATCATTAGAACGGACCTTCTGATTGAGGACATATTTGTGAAGTTTGGTGGACTGGTGTATTAAATAAAGTCTTATTAAATATTCAGGTCGGTACTTGTTGTGCACTATATTGACGACTACCTTATTGGTCGATATAAAGAAAAACCATACATTGTCTCGAAATATAAATTTTATTTGTACAAGGCTTAGAAACAGGTAAAAAGCAATACTGTGTCGAGCATTTTTACCTGTTTTGAGCCTAGTACAAATAAAATGTATGTATTGTTATTCTTTATATACTGCAACTCCTATAACTGTTCCAAATGAAATATTGAGGGTAAAAACCATCAATTTTTAATTTAAAGCGGATAACGTAATATTCCCGCGAATCTGTATGTTTAAAGTCAAATGAAACGAGTGACTGGTAAAAAAATAGTGTTAATCAAATTCTTAAACCAATGCATACATATATCATAAACTTAAAATATTTCATTCGGTCAGTGTAGTTGTGGAAATATGGCAGCTAATTAATGGTCGTGTTTTGAATCCGAAGTTAACCGATTGTCACCTTTGTAAACAATCAACAAAGAAGCATGGGTATTGAGGTAAGCACGTGTATAACATGTACAATAAGATATAGTTTATTTCGATGACGTAGCGATGTTTACGTTTGTTGAATCTCTCTGCCAATTTGGTTATCACCTTCGCGCTTGCGTATTGCGATCACCTGATTTTTACGAGAAAGGTCACGCGGAGGTAACTGCATACGGAAAACATGTCGGCGAATTGTTGTCTGGGAAGCCAATAATTAAAAAAAGTAAATTTTCTCTAACATTGAACAAGTTAAGGAATTTTCTTCAGACAAAGCATATTTACATAAGTTTAAAAATAAAAACTAACTATTTAGTTATAAAAAAACATATGCATCAATTTTTTTTAATTTGAAGATATATATGACTTTAATTGACGTCATAAATAAAACTCTACTGAAACAGGTTTTCAACGTCATAAACAAGGCGATATACGGTCAGTGACTGTATTTCTCATATGAATATACGGTCAATGCAATTGGACTCCGCAAATATCACAGCTGCAGTATATACTTTTTTTATACTCACATGAAGTTTAATTCATATAAAGCCTTTGAAAAGACAAACAAACATATAAACTTAGAAGAGCTATATGTCAAATAGAAAACAAAAAATAACAGCACTGAATCTAAGCCTATCATTTCACCTGCAGTGCTATTAAGAAAATCACGCTAAATGTAACTCGAAAACAGACTTATGTAGAAAAGCAAATAAAATCGGCACTACATATGTTTTACATTCACGGTGACGAATTGGTGGAGAGACTCTATGTTTTTGTGTCCGTAAGGACTCTTATCGTGCTTTTAAATATTAAGGCGGTACATAACACCTAAGAAGGGCAAATTTTACTCATAATCTGTGTCATTGCAGCGTTTCAAAATGAAGCAATATGCAAGAATTTTAAAGATCCAGATCAGAATGTTTACTTTGTTGATAAGAGCAGATGTAAATCTACTGTTATTAGTTTTGTCTCTGAATCCATTTATAGTTACACATTTTCCATAAATGAATCTTAACAAACCAAACAGAAAAATTTAAAAGTAAAATAAATTTAAACAAGAAGCAGGATTTTAGATTTTTTCAAATGGGAAAATGAAGGGAAACAGAAGGACCCCAGACGTACTTTGGCATCTTTATTGACTTTAATGACCCTACAACTATACTCATTACTACATTGATACAGCAGCAAAGATAGAGGTAACTAATCATCTACTTTATGGGAAATCACAGTCCTAGGTTTTGGGGAGAAGAATAGTTGAGCTAGACGGCAGTCCTGCTTGCATCAAGAATGTAATATTGTATTTGCAAGTCCCCTCTCCTCCTATCAGTAGGGGGAAAGTTATTTGGGCTAAGCGACCTCCCTTACTCATAGAAAGGAAAAATTGGCTCACGAAAGAGAAATAATCTCGTGCGTTCTATAACAAAACCAAAAAGTATGCCTGTTCTGTCTTAAAACTTCTATGAAATATTCAGAATGAATCCATTCAGAAATCTGAGTATCTAATTGCTATAGTCAGTCTGACTCTATTTTTGGTTAATACGACTCATTGTTATGTCATCAGAAATAAGAAAATGCCTACCAATAAAATTATAACCAAAAAAATCAATAAACCAAGGACAATTCTGCTTCTATTCGTACCAAATTAATTTCAATCAAACCAGAATTGACTCCACGATTCTTTTTTGAAAACTGTACTTTTTAAATGAAATACACTTGGTAGTGTAAAAATGTATGTTACGAATAATTCATATATGACATGTGAATGTGTGTGTTGAAAAACGCTGGCATGTTCGTTTTTATGCAATGGAAAATTTTAGGACATGATTTATATCTATATAAAAGAAGTATGAAGATACCAAGGTGATAATCAACCACTAGTGTATCATTTACAAGTTGAGCGACAAAGACAACAACAACAAAAAACCATCTGATTCAGTCCACAAAACAATACCCAGAAACTTAGAATTGAGCACTCTATAATTTATCTCAATAAGAAAAAACTATGGCATTCAACTCTTAGTTTTCAACCTTTATCCTGACAGATGTAGAAAATAAACAGGTGACTGCAATTTTTGTGAAAGATAAAACCTTAATTTAGAACCATGCTTGAAACTGAAACTACACATGTATGATAAAAATATGACATGTTATTTTTGCTTTATCAAATTCTAATTTGAAGGGATAGCGAAATTTGTTTTCTTTTATTGTGATTTTGTGTATTTTTCCGAAGTAGTGAATGCAATTTTGAAGTAAAGTTTTTCTTCTCAAGTCTCAATTCAAGAGTATGACTGAATAGAGTATAAAAGAGGGGCGAACGATACTAGAGGGCCTCCAAACTCATAGATCGAAAACAAACTGACAACCCCATGGCTACAAAAGAAAAGTATAAGAGGTCAAAAGAAATAATGTGACACTTCTAACTGCAATTTGATATTTGGTGGAATGAGAGGTGAAATGGGTAAAGACTCTTACATGTCTTGTCTTTTTATTTTTGGCCATGGCGTTGTCAGTTTGTTTTCGATCTATGAGTTTGACTGTCCCTCTGGTATCTTTTGTCCCTCTTTTACATTTTGATAGCATTTTAAAGAATGATTTGTTTTAATCTAAAAACCAGTTGTTTCCAATTTGCATAACCTCTGCAGTAACACTATCAAATTCTATGTTTACCGATCTTGATTATACATAATGATCTTGCAAGGTCAGCTCTATTCTATCACCTAGTTCAAATTTTCAGGGACATTGGTTCTTTGCACCAATGGATTCGTCGTTTATTTTTTTTTTTAGATCTGTGGACCAAAAAAATATAGAAAATCTTGATAATGTAAAAAATATCTGCCGATAAGATTTTTCCTATGTATCCTTTGTATTTTTGACGTCTCACGCTGTTAATTTCATCATCTCGTATCTCAAAAACAAAAAAGGTTACTACCTATTTTATTTTATTATTGGTGTACTTTTACAAGCATAATACGTATGTGAAACTTAATAACAACAAGGTCTTTTTTTAATGTAACTACTTGTATTTTGTGTCTTGATAACAGATACTTTCCTATGCATGGAATTTGATGATATATCATAATGTGTGTTGTATAATCGATTTGAATAGCTCATTAGAGCTTGTGCAATAAGTATTTGTTTACTAAATATTGACTCTTAACAAAACTTTGAATTCAATTCAATTGAATTATCAAGCCAAATATCTCAGGCCTATGTAGAAAAAACAAGTCATTACCTGCTAAAGTGTTACTTGCAAAAACTACAGTTATAGTCCTCGTGGTCAACATGAAGGTCATATTGTACGGGGGTACACCACCTCATGATGATACATCCACATGCCAACGATGTAAGGCCTAGGTCAAAAGACAAAGAAATTATGGCCTTGTCGTGTTTCTTGCAAAAAATACATTAAGTTGACCTTGAGGTCAATTTTGAAGGTCATATGAAGGTCATCATGATACAAGACATTTAACCTCATGATGATACTTTGACATGACAAATATCTAAGGCCTAGATCAAAAGACAAAAAAGTTATGGCCAGTATGTACTATCAGAATGGATCTTTCTCTTATTCATTGAGCCAATTTGAGGGTAGGGGCATATTTTAAACTATAATAGACAAAAATCTAGTGGTAAAATCTTTTAAAATGTTAGCAAGAATAACAGACTGATATAGCACTCCAAATGGTTAGTTTTTTTTTTAAATTAAACGACTCAATCAAAAAAGAAATCTTCTTCAAATACTGGACCCATCTGATTCACTTTTGGGTGCTGAATCTGACACCCCCATTTTTTTTATTTCGGACAAAAATTTAAATCCAGAATAAAAACTTACCAGTTAAGGGTATCGGTGAATTAAAATTCGTCTCCGTGATCACTATAAACTATGCTATTGTCAATTTAGGGTTAATTTTTTTTAAATATTAGCATATATACCCCTATATCCATATTTCTAAAAATTCAAAGCTTTGCCGATATTAGCATGTAAAAATGCCATATTTGATTTAAAATTTTTATAAGATGTTTATTCAAGTCTAGTGTATCAATGAGAGAAAAACAAGACAAAATAAACGACAGTTTTTTTTATAGTGTTGGGTACCCCATTAAGATGCATGTACACTCCTCTAATCTGTAATTTTACCGATTGTGTCCTATTCCCGATTGTGACAATTTGATAGAGTGTATATTTCAAAAGCGAATGATGTATGCATAGCAGGAGATGCTTATACATTTAAAGTTCATGCGATTCCCTCTGTTTTTGTTATTACTTTGATGTGTATCTTTATAATCGAGTTATGATATTTGAACATCGGTTAACTACCGTAGCTTATTTTCGACAAAAAAACATATGCTAAAATTCTTGTGGGGTAGAACTGTTTTAAAACTGTTCAGACAGTTTCTATAACAGATTATTCGGAAAATTCCAAAAAGAAGATTCAAGCTGATCCCAACTGTTATATCTACGACTGTATTGTGTGTTTTTTTTTTTTATCATAGTCGAAATACTTTTTTACTTTTACTTATGATCTTTGGCCTGTTTTTTTTTTGTTGGTATCTGCTTGTCTTATGATCGACTAATTACTAATTGTTTATTGGTGTCAAACGCTACTTTCTGATCTTTGAGGTCATTTTGTATTGCTTGCAGAAGCCGAAATGCCTGATGAGGATCTCTGATGTATATACCTAAACCACTATTGCTGCACTAATCATGATTTAAATTTCAAATTTACGACAGAAGTTGATCAATTATATACAAAACCTGCTTATACTGTCCCAGATTTAGGGGCGGGTTTGGCGCCAACAAACTAGTTTAACATCGCCACATTCTGTATGTGCCTGTCCCAAGTCAGGAGCCTTTAATTCAGTTGTTGTCGTTTGTTGCTGTGAATCATATTTGTTTTTCGTTCATTATTTTGTACATTAATTATTAGTTTTTTCGTTTGAATTGTTTTACATTCGTCATTTCAGGTCCTTTCATATATATGAGTTTAGACATCTACGCTTTAAAAAAATGTGTTGTGTAAAACGTCGAATTAGTACTTCAGGATAGTTACACTTAAAGATAAGCATTGAATTTAGGATCTAGCACCAACTTATAATCTGACAAACAATAATATGAACATATGGAGACAATGTTTCTAATTTGAAAAGCTTGTGTCTAATCTTTTTGAATCTTTGAACGATAAGATGTGTTGTAACTAACAAGTTCTTGTGTGTTTGTCAATGAGACAATAGCCCAACGGTAACTTCCACAACAGGCAACAAACAGACTTCAACAAAAGACTCGGGCTTAGAATCAATAAAATGATAACAAATTATGAGAACTAATAAAAGCAGCAAATTAAGTTTTATACACCTTGATTTTGTGATATATTTTTTAAGATACAACCAGAAAGGCTACAATATGAAGATATCAGATAACGGCAAAGAAACAGCACTGCATATAGCAGTGAATAATAACCAAGAACAAGTTGTGGAGTTTTTACTGAAAGATTGTAATCTGATAGATGAAGCAGACACAGCTGAGGATAGGTACACTTTCTTTGAAATATATTTAAATTGGTTGTCAAACATTTAACTTCGTAACGAAATTTTTTTTTCTGTATATAGTTTATGATTAATACTGGTTCTTTGTAATTATTTAAACTTTAACATATGGAAAGTGGCACACTTGGTCTTGGATTTTCTTCAAACTTCACATACTTACTGAACTTGACAAATGAAACAAAGAATGACAAAAATTTGGTTGCTTTGCACATCGTTTTCCTTAGAATCTGTCTATTTTTAACCTTACTGGATTTCCATAATTTTGATTTGCAAAAAGCCTTTTTCAATATAATATTTCATAAAATAAATAAGTGAAATAAAACTTTTGTATTAATTCCTGATGGTTCTTACCACTAAACATGTATACAAACAAACCTATACATTTTTGTAACAGTGTCTATGTTCACAAAAAATGGTCCATAATACTCCACTCCAATAAATGATTCGTTCATTGTTGAAGACCCTATATCAACTGTCAAGATGAAGAACAGGAATAAAAGCCCTGTTCGTTGATATTTTTTTATTTTTTCTATGTATTGTGTGCGATTTTGTCCCATTTACATTTACTTCATATCCTTTTATTTTCTACTGACTCATTTAATTGTTTCTTTGGTAGTGGAGGCATTAATGACAATCTATATGGTCCAGCTTCATAACGCTTGCAGATTGTATTTCTCAAACCTCTTTTCACTGCATATTATCCTTGTGGAGTCCAGTAGGTTTGTCGCATTATTGATAAAGTTTGTAATACACCAACATTAAAATATTTTCTGTGCATGTTTTCAATTACACGTTCAGTTACTTTGTTTTTCTTAAGAAGTATTATAGGTGTTCGTGCCCCTTCTTACAGTTGAGATCATTTTCTACCAATATATCTTATGACACTTACTTGATCTAAAATGTGACCTATAATGGTTTACTTTTATAAATTTTGACTTGGACGGAGAGTTGTCTCATTGGCACTCATACCACATCTTCTTATATCTCCTTACTTACTTAAAAGTGTTTTTTTTTTTCTCTCTTTAATTGCAATCATCTCACATCACCAAACCATTGTTTTTTGGGCATATTTTATCCATAATTAAATTGCTCGTTCCAGCTCTGTTCGGGTAAGAGCATCAGATAACAACGCCTCTTTCTGTAATCGTCGAACACAACTTATTATCCGAGCGGGAAAATGAGAAAAGATCTGTTGCAATCAATGTTAAATAAATACCCATCACTTAATTTCAAATTTTAAGTTAGTTTTTGGAATTTCCCCAACAGGCAATATCTTATTAAATTAATTATGAAAATAATAAACAATTATAAAAACAAAGCAAAAAAAACAAACTTATCTTGACATTCTGTGGGATTATTTCAAAATTGAAGTTAGAGGCCAGACAATCAGCTGTTGTAAACCAAAAGCTAAAAATAAAATAGACCAAATCAGCAAGTTTTAGGAATTGAATAGTAGACACATGCAATGATAAAAACAAAACTAAGTTATTACAGGAAGTCTAAAATATAGAAAATGGAATAGGAAAACTCTATAATGAGAAAATAAAATGTAATCAAATAAAAAGTAAAATCACAAAAATACTGAACTCCGAGGAAAATTCAAAACGGAAAGTCACTAATCAAATAAGGGCACGGGTAAAATGGGTTGAAGTGGGAGAGAAAAATTCAGCATATTTTTCAGGAATGGAAATATCTAGGCAGAGTTGAAAAAACAATATCCCAGTAATATGATGATAAGGGTCAAGTTAAAAGTGATCAAGACAAACCATTAGAATTAGAGGCAAATTGTTATAAAAAATTCTAAGATAAAAGAAACAAAGAAGTATTTAGATTCCCTCAAGGAAAATGAGAAATTAAATGACTGTGAAAGTAAATACTTGTGAAGGGGAAAAACTGTTGATGAATGAAGTGATGCAATTGTTTGAATGAAACCTAATAAAACTCCTGGATTTGATGGATTAAATGTGGAATCTTACAGAAAATTTTCTTTGCGGAACTTAAAACTTTTATATCTGCTTCTTTTAATTACTGTTATGAAAAAGAAAGGTATCTAACACTCAGAAAATTGGCTTACATTCTTAATCTGTAAGAAAAATTACTCTTTATCACTAGACAATTATAGACCGATTACTCTTTTAAACTATGATGCAAAATGTCTTGCTTGTGCATTAGCCGAAAGATTAAATACCCTGCTACCAAAGATTATACATACCTACCAAAAAGGATAAAATAAAAAAATGGTATATTGGTTTAAAATTCGGCAAATACAAGATGTTATAAACTACTCTGATACTTTTAAAATAGATGGGGCAATTTTATTCCTTGATTTAACAAAAGCATTTGACTCATTAGAATGGGACTTCATGTTTGAGGCTTTAAAAAAAAATTATAGGTGGGTTCAGATAATGTACTGTGATATTAAAGAATGCATTATCAATATTTGATTGGTTTCTACCCGTTTCAGGGCATCTCTTGGAATCGGACAAGGATATACGTTATCATCATTATTATTTGTTTTTAGCTGTAGAAGTTGTGGCATTTAAGATAAGGGAAATAAAAACTTTAAAGGACTAGAAATGAAACTAGACCTTAAAAGCAATACTCTTACAATCTGCCAATTAGCTGATGATAGTCTACTCTATTTCTTCAATCTTAAAAGACGTCTCTCTAGCAATTAATTTATTAGAAATATTTGGTAGGTTTAAAATTAAATAAAACAAAAACTGAAAGGATATGGCTAGGCAAATTGAACTACTGTCGGGAAAATTTTGAAGATATAAATTGGTGTACTGCACCTATCAAAAGCCTTGGGATTTACTTTGTTTACAATAAACAAGAATGTCCAAAATAAAAACAACAAATAACATCTGATTGGAGTAAAAGAAATTTTACTATGAAAGGAAAAATAGTTATCATCAAATCACTTGTTTTGCCAAACTTAACATATATTAATATTGCATCAAACACTATAATTCCTAAAGAAATGTTGCAAGATTTTAGAACTTGAGAATACAATTTTATTTGAAAAGGTAAAAGAGAAAAAGTAAAAAAAATCCTTACTTTCAAATGAATTTTTGGAAAAAGGACTTTAGATAACAGTCATTGATGCATACAAATTTACTGCATATCAGCTGGATTCTAGAATTAAGTGAAGATAAAAATGAGAATTGAGCAATTATTCCCAAATTTCATTTCAACAAATTAGGAAAAAATCTTCTTGTATTTAAAAAGAATTTAAAGAAAACAAACGACATTGATGAAAATAATTTACAATATTTACTTTTATAAGCAACTAATTAAAGATTAGATAAGTGTTACAGGAGGTAATACAAAATATCTCAAAACATTTTTTGAATTAGAAAACAAGTTCTGTAATATAAGGTTCACCAGAAAATGCATAAACTTTGAAGATAAAATCTCTGAAACTATCATCTTATCTAAACTTAAATATAAACAAAATTGGATGAAGCAAATATATATGTTTAAAAAGCAATAACAATTAATTGAAAAACAACTCTTAGTACTAAGTATTAAAACTAAGGTTAATTTCGTAAATGACATAAAAAATTATGTACAAGACAATAACTCCTTTACTGAGCACAACAGAAATTTAAAAAATCTTCACACTAAAAGGAATTTGTTATAAATGAAATAGTTTTTTTTTTATGTGGGGAAAACTAATTTGAGAAAAGTTCAAAAACAATTTTTTTTTTTTTTTTTTTTTGAATATCTTAGTGATAATAGATTGAAAATATTCATATGGAAATTTATTCACTACATACTGCCAGGTAATGAACTTTTGAAAAAGTGGAAAATTACTGAGTACAACCTTTGTAAACATTGTAAAGAAAAAGAAGACTATGAACACTTTTTTGTCAAAAGCTCATTTAATACTGACTTTCTAAATATAGCAATGTAATTAATGAAATCTCTTGGTATTGACAAAGACATTATAAGCCGTACATTACAGCGTACAACATTGAAGACACAGTAAACTTTCATATTAATTACATATATATATATATATATATTAACATAATATCTGTTTCAATATACAAAGGACATTATGTCTCAGAAAAGAAGAAAAAAAAATGAATATTTTAAAAATTTTGAGAAATAAATTTCAGCAATTATTGAAATAAACAATTTGATAACAAAAAAATAGTAAGATAATTTTAAAAACAAAAAGATTCATTGGAAAGTATCAAATGAACCAGAATTAAATCTATGTTAGATGTTTTAAAACAATACATCTATAGTAAGTACAGAACATTGTATGCAAGATTGTTAATTGTGCACAAGCCAAATATGATCATGTTTATTAACAGGTTCAACCATGCTTATATGTCCAAGATATGTGTGTAAGCATGTTCAACCATAAAATTGAGAATGGAAATGGGGAAAATGTCAAAGAGACAACAACCCGACCAAAGAGCACACAACAACCGAAAGCCACCAATAGGTCTTCAACGCAGCGAAAAAAATTCCGCACCCGGAGGTGATCCTCAGCTGGCCCCTTAATAAAATTGTGTACTAGTTCAGTGAAAATGGACGTCACCTTAAACTCCAAAACATATAAATGAACTAAAATTGAAAAACATACAAAACTAACAAATGCCAGAGGCTCCTGACTTGGGACAGGTGCAAAAATGCGGCGGGGTTAAACATGTTTTGTGAGATCTCAACCCTCCCCCTATACTTCTAGCCAATGAAGAATAAAGAAACGCATAGCAATACGCACAGTAAAACTCAGTTTAAAAGAAGTCCGAGTCCGATGTCAGAATAGGTAACAAAAGAAACAAAACAAAATGACAATGATACATAAATGAACAAAGGACTACTAGCAGTTACTGACATGCCAGCTCCAGACCTCAATCAAACTGATTTAAAGATTATAACTTCATCATATGAAAATCAAGTACAATCCCTCCCGTTAGGGGTTTAGTATCATACCATCATAAAATATATGAGATGAACATAACCCG